CGCGCAAGTTTTGAGCGCACGCTTCTAATCGCAGCAGCCTCCGGCCTTCTCTCCACCCCCAGACCCGTCGGGGGCCAAGAGCTGCTGTGCCTGATGCTGCGCTCGGTCCTCCTCACCTTCTTCCCAAAGATGTGGGGGAGGGACCCGGGCCCTGGATTCGGTCGTGTGGGCTGTGCCCTTAGCTGCACCTTTTATCAGCTGCTGCTTGACCCTGAGCAAGTTCCTTAACCTCGCTGATCTTAGTTTCTCTGTTTGTGAAGCAGGAATCATAACAACCTCAGAGGGCTGCTGTGAGAATGATATGAGATGATGCATTTAAAGTGTTCTGGCACAAAAATTGTTCGATTAAGGTCAGAGGCTGCTTGGCAGAATTAAACAAGCTTGAGTATGAGGGTTCATTCAACCAAGAACTTACTGACAGCAAAGCCCTGTCCTAGGAGCTAGAAAGAACACAGAGATCTTGTGTAACTCGCAAAAATTGCTGTTAGCTTGGAGTTTACATGGGTGGACGAGGTGGGGGGAGTCACACAGCAAATACATGCTACAGACAGGTACACAGTCTAACCGTGAGAACAGGCAGTGGGGTGCAGTTGCCCTTTAATAGGGTGGACAGTTGCACAAAGGAAGTGGAGGGTGGTCCATTGGGAGAAGCTGGGCCAGCTAGAGAGAAGAGCAGGGTGGACCCACCGTCCAATTTCCCTTACTATAAAGCCTATCACCCCCTCACGACTCTCTACCCCCTACCCCCCAACAAACATACCATCAGGTGAGCGCTCCCCTGGGAGATCTGCCCAAGAAGTGGTAAGGCTGGGTAGCTGAAGGGCAACCCAATTCCAGCAGCGCTTCCAGCCCATAATGTTTAAGTCAAGTGTCCCTTCCTCCATCCCACCCCGGACCCTGCAGCACATCCCTTCACACCTTCAAAAGAATTTCCCTGATATAATCACAAAGGGGAATAACTCACATCCTCTCAAGGAATCTAATTTCCCCTTCCCCATTCCATGGCAGATGAAGAGGACAGCAGGTGAGGACGCTGATGCCAAGGCAAACCAAGAGAAACACGGCTCCACCCCTGCTCTCAGCAGCAACAGTGCCCACACACTTCCAGGCTCTCTACAAATACCAGTACCAAAGAAAGCATTTCAGCTGCTGTTACATTCTTATTTACATTGCACCATTACAAATAAAGAAATGACTTCTAAAAAATGGGTAAGGGACAAGGCATATGCATATGTACAGGTCTGGTCTGCACATATAAGATCTGTATATGTTGTGTGTGTGTATTATTTCATGTGTATTTACTTATTTAATATCATTGATAACCCTATGAGGGCTCGTATCTACATCATTTTAGATAAGAAAATTTGAGTTTTAGAGAGTTAAATAATTTGCCCCAGGTCACAGAGCTAATAAATGGTGGAGTTACTCCCTTCTTTATTGTGTTTTAATTTATTGTGTATATATATATGTGTGTGTGTGTGTGTAAATATACATACATACACGATTTATTGAGTGCCATCCATGTGCCTGGCACTGACCTAGCAATTAAAAAAATCCCTCCCCTCATATATATTACTTACATTCTTGTGGAGAGAGAGAAGCAATAAGCAGGTGGGGGGAATAAATTTAGCACATGAGAAGTTAAGGATCATGGAGAAAAATTAAGCAGAGAAAAGGAGGAAATGGGGTCCTGATGTTAAATAGGTAAGGGGCAGGGGAGGAGGCTTCACCTAGAAAGTGACATATGTGCAAAGAGCAGAAGGAAACTGCCCATGTGGGGAAAATGCTCCAGGCAGAGGAAACAGCAAGTGCCCAGACCCTATGCGGCTGGAAGGGAGTGGGCTTGGGCAAGGAGAGGGGAGAAGGGGCCATTCAGGGGCGCAGACTCTGAAGGACTTAGGCTGTGGCCCTGAGTGGTGGAGGGGGGCCCGGGGGTCCTGAGCTCTGCCAGGGAGCAGGACCACCAGCCGTTATGCTGAGAGTGCACTGTAAGGGGGGCAAGCGGGGAACACGGAGACCAGCCAAGAGGCCGTCATAATAGCCCAGGTGAGACACGAAGATGGCGCGGGGCCGAGCAGAGGCAGAGATCCTAAGGAACAGACAAATTCTGGAAGAACACAGGGGATAAAGGCACGGCACTGAACAATAAGCTCCGCTTGGAGTGTGGAAGAGGGGTCGGGGACGGCTCCTCGGCTTTGGGCCTGAGCGCCGCCTGCAAAGAAACGGCTTGCTCTTAATGGAAAGGGGAACGCTGTGGGTGGAGCACGTTTGGGGACCAAGCTTCAAACAAGTTCAATTTGAGGATCTTTTAGATGTTCGGGGGAGACAGATGTCCGGCAGGCAGCAGAATAAACAAAACTGCAGGTTGGAGTTTAGGGAAGAACTTCAGGCTGAAAAAGAAGTATTTTTAAATGGGAGGATTGCTGGGCTGTAGGCGCTGCTGACCGCTAGCCAGGGCTCAGGGGGGCCCAGGAGGAGAGGACAGGGGGCTCCGGTTTCTCGTCCGCGGGACGGAAGCGAGGGGGAAGCGCACAGCCTCGGCACTTGGGGGATCCCTGCGGCTGCTATAAAGCCTCTGCCAGGCCGCGATCCTTTCCGCCCGGCAGCTGGGAGGAAGCACGCGTTTGGGGCGCCCCATCTGGCATTGAACCGCCACAAGCTCCAGCGTCCCGGCCCCCGACAAGTCACTTAATCCCTCTGCGGGTCGGCATTCTCCTCGGTAACAGGCGGCCGCCAGCCCCCCGGACTGGGCTCAGGGGGAGAGGGCAGCCTGGAAAAGCACCTCTGGCTCCTTCCCGCTGCGCAGGGCTTTCTCCAGCATTTTACGTCCACTCCCTCCCCACGTGTTGTCTTGGCACGTGCTTCCCCAGCGCCACGCTGGCACACACACGGGTTCAGGGAAAGCACGGGGGACGCCAAGGCTCGGGATGGACGCCCAGGTCAGGGGCAGGCGGCTCGTCCCCTTGGAGAGGGGACCCCGCACACCACTGGCAGTGCCCAGCCGCGCCGCCGTCGTTCTGCGCGGGGCCTGCAAAGGCCGCTGATCCCGCCCCCCCCCACCTGCCCCGCGGGCACTGCTCACCTGCGCGCGGAGGGCCTGCCTCCCGCCCGCCGCCCCCGCCGAGGACGCTCGCTCCCGGCTGCAGCAGCGGGGTGGCCGCGGGTCTTCCGCGCGAGCTGAGGCTGGAGGGCTTCGCGCTGAGGCTGCTCTGCTCCTGCACGCGGGGGTCTCGCTCCCAGGGGGGGAAGGGGCCGCGCGCCGGACGGAGAAGCTGCGGGACAACCGCGCACCCGCCGCGCCCTCGTAAACACACGCGGGAGAAGCGCCCTGCCTTCTAGCCCACGCGCTGACCCCAAAATACACAACACTTGGGGCTAATGCCGGACGTTTCAGCAACACGCGCATACCTCCCCTGTCTCACCTGGGGCCCTGGGTAAAACCGGTGCCCGGCAGAAAGTATGCGTAAGCTTTGTGATCCCTGCAAGGGGGGAAAACAAAAATATAACATCCAGTTAATGTCACATGGCGCGTTCGGGTGGTTGGCTTGTTTTTTTTTCCGGGTAACAAGTGGACCACAGTTAATCAAGTGATCAAGTCAGTTTGGTGGATATGAAAGGACACAGACCTCCTGGCAAAGAAAAAATGCAATTAGAATGGAATCATTCCCTTGGGTTGTGCTGGCCTTTCCAAACCACCAACAAAAATGTAATTAGGGGCAGAAATGTTTTGGAAGGAAGTTAGCAGACAGGGAAGGAAGGTTTCCTTAGACGTAATGATGACAGTCTTCTATTTTGTTATTCTATTAACCAAGAAATTTCTACAGTGTAAGCCAAAACTTTTGATGGCCTCAGAGAAGTACTTGTGCAGGGTTTGGGGGTTTTTTTCGGGGTTGAGGGGGCAGGAATGGGGAAGGCAAGAATACCAAACACACTGCCCCAGGGACAGCAGCTCCACCACCTGAGTGGCCTGCTGGTGGTGTTCCTGTGCAGCAGTGGAGGATAACATATCTGTCTTATTTTATTTCACCAGATGGAGAAAAATGCAAGAATATTTGGGGGGGGGAAACATTTCCTGCCTTTTTGTTCTTAACATAAAAAAGTACTTTATGGCTATTTTTTTTTTCAGCATATTTTCTCCTCCTCTGGGGCACTTTTTAAAGCCTCAAAGCATATATTTGCCAGGAGTCTGGATTCTCACAATATTCCTAACTCTTTCTGCAACCAAGACTTGCTGGACCTGCTCCATTAGGGAAACTTGTGTTTTACAGGCTGTAGAGGGAAACTGCAATAGCTGAGCTTTTTTTTTTTTTTTTTTAAGGGAAAATTTTAAACTTAAAACACTTAGTATTTATGGGCCATTGCTTTTTCTTTTATTACCCATTTAACCGTGTCTTTTCTTTGACGCTCATCCAGGGGAATTCTCATCATCCATGGCTAGATCAGAGAAGTCAAAAGGAAAGGTCTTCATCATCTCTAATCTCCATCTCTCACCTCCCTCCCAAGCAGTTTACAATAAAGAGAACTCACTCCCACATCCTGATCCCGGCTCTTCTTTGATCTTCCCCATCATTTGCTTATTAAAAACAACTGCTCTATCGCCACCACCACCAGTTTCAAGTTGTCTGAGTTACTATTATCCTTAAATTTTCCATTTTCATAGTCAAGTCATGTATTAGAGTTACTATGGAAAATATGACATTCCCAATTGAAAAACAGGGGAAATCTGTAGGAAGAAATCTTTTAATTTTCCGCCAGTTCGAAAGCACTAAAATGCTACTTTCTGAATATGGATCTCTGGTTTTCTAGCCTGGCTTTTTCTTGTGTCAGTCACACCACGTTTGATGGTTTCCTGGATTATTTTTCCACTGAACAGTAATTAAAAGTGAGCAAATACTAAATTTCATTCCCATCAACAAAAGAAAAAAAATGCATTCTGTAACAAGTTACCAAACTCTAGGCAATGACTCAATACACCACCGAATTCCAGTGGAACAAAATAATTTGAATAAACCCTCAGATTTCATAGTTTGGGAATTTATTAACTACTAAGACACACATTGCATTACTTCTTTACAAATGAATGGGCCAAATAGCTTATCAAATAAAAAATGCAAAATAAAGATTAAAAAGTGTATGTTTTAGGTTTTATACATAGAGGTTATAATCAAATCTGGGAGAGGGGCATTCACAGTAGCCAAAGTTGAAAACAAATGAATAAAAGCAAGATTCTCTAGATTTTTATATAATAAGTAGTACCTTGTACAAGACTGTAGCAGATTCTTTCATCCACAGCTAAACATGTATCTCCACTTTCTGAATTTCAGTGTCCCCGAGGCCAATGGTACATCCCACTTGGAACCATCTTCCTCCAGGAAATATGTTCTCATCCTACAGCTTTCTCCAGGCCAGGTGGCTGGGTCAGAGCTGCTTCTCAGGGTCCTCAGTGGAGCCTGGCCTTCTCCATCAGAGCGCTGGCTGCACATTACTGCCCTTGCTTACACAATTGTGAGTCTTCACTGCTCTACTGCAGACTGCGCAAGGGAAGGGACCACATCTATTTTGTTCAGTGTTATATTCCAAGTACCTGGCACACAATAGGCACTTACTAAAGTATTTAATGAACCAATAAATAGACAATACAATTGGTTAAGTGGGTTTGTTTTTTTAAAGTCTTGGGAAGCCAAGTGTAAGAAACAAAACCAGAGATAAATTCCTTCCACCTCTTTCACTCAGTCTGTGAGTGAAGAGTGCAGTGAGTGTAGCAATTGGCCAGACACCTGAGTCTGAAATCCAGCTTAGATACCCATCACCTGTGTGACTTCAGATAAGTGACTTAACCTTTCTGAACCTCATTTTCTCATCTGTAAAACGGGTATAGTAAAGCCAACCTTGTAGGGTTGCTTTGAGAATTTATAAACAGTTAAAACCCTTGATTGCTTATAGGCAATCTATAAGCAAATATTACCATTCATTCAGTGAATGATTGCATGCCTGCCATGAGCACTGCAGATACTAAGACGAATACACCAAAACCCTTCCTCAAGACCTAAGTCTTGCAAGTAATATGGCAAATATAGTCACAATAAAAAGTAATCACAGGAGCAACTCAATTGGAGAGAGGGGTGCAATCTAATCAGAAGAGAGCCTTTGATTAGAAACACAAGGTCTAAATCCTATGGCTTGTGGGGGTGACCACAAGTACTTATCATCCCATTCAATGCAAAGTAAGCCCCCAACTTATTCCAGTGGCTGACAAGAACCTGTCCAACAGCATGCTCACACACCCTGTTTTCTCTCTGACCTCATCTCCTTGATGTGCTAAGCCCACTCCCACCTTAGGGCTTTGCACTGGCTATTCCCTTCGCCTAAATTTTCTTCCTGTTTATCCACATAGCTCACTATCTTACCTCGTTTCATGTCTTTGCTCAATGTCACCTTTTCAATAAAGCCAATCTTGCCTAGATGACTCCTCCCCATCCTATTAAATGTGCTTATTTATGATGTTTATTATTTACTGGCACCACCCACCCCTCTTCCATATAAGCTCCATGAGGGCAAAGATCTGAGTTTTGTTCCCCATGCTATGCCGGGTGACTAGGACAGTGGCTGGCACATAGTAGTATTGAATGAATGAATGAATGAAGTGTGGCTGGAATGTGAAGTCAGGGGGCAAAGTAGAGAGGGGTGAAGCTGGAGAGATGTACAGAGGCTTTGAATGCTGTGGTGAAGAGCTTCGATTTTTATCTGGGAAGTCAGAGGAAGCCATTAAAGGTGAGTGGCATGTTCAGATCGGCGTTTTAGATAAGTCACTCAGAGAAAGGATTTGAAGGGAATTAATGGCAGAGCCTTACAGTTAAGAGCCGACAGGAGCAAGTGAGCTGGAAACCAAGACAGGAAAGGCCTAAACCAGAACAGTAGGGAAAAGAAAGGAAGGGAGGGCACACATCTGAGGCACAATTAGGAGGTTAAATCAGGTGAGACTTGACAACTGACTTAAAGTAAATGGAGAGAGAAAGAGAACACTTAAAAATGAGTCTCAGGTTTGTAGTGTGGGTGACTGGGAGGTTGAACTAAGTGAGGTCTAGAACAGAGAGGGGCCAGGAAGGTGATAAGTTCAGCTCCATAAATACCCATATATAGTCTTCCCAGTGTCATTTGTGGAAGAGGAAATTTGGAGCTCAGGGGAGAGGTTTAGACAGTAGCTATTCTTTCTACCAAGTGATAATTATATTAATTTTAAAGGGAAAACTTTCATTTTATATATTCAAATTTACTTCCAAAACATTAAAATACAACTTTCTTAATTTTTTATGTAACTGTATGTATACATATATATGTGTGTATAATTTTTCCCTGATAACAAAAAAGTGTCTTTTTTAAAAATTATTTGATTTTTGCTCCAGATTTTACTTTTCAGTGGAGATTTTTAGTAAACTGCCCGAAGAAAATAATATTTTCCTCCAAAAGTTACCGTCTTAGGTTGTGGAAGTAACTAGTTATATAATACAAAGAGCATACCCTTTCATTTTGTAAAAGTATAAGGGGGAAGTTAGAGAAATTCAAAGGCAATATTATGTATTCAAAACAAATTTGAGGAAATAGTTTCAAAATGACATGTAATTAGTGGAAGTTACTATCAAGAACATGACTGAAGCCAATTGCTTTATGATTTATGAGCTTTCCCTTCTCCCTAATCAAACCTCTATAAACACAAGGCATGTAAGAAGGGATAACACTACATTGTTACTTAAGATTACTAGTAGAGAGTTAGACTGTTTCACTTCAATAATAATAACTTATTGAGCACTTACTTTGTGTCAAGCATGTGCTAGGCAATTGTCAAAGTTTCCTCCTGCCCTTTGAGGGGAACCAATGATAAAACCACAAAACAGGGTTTAGCCAGTTGAGCAACTCCCTAAAGGAAACTTTGTTATCAAGTGATGAGATCTTTTAACAGAGGAAATTTGTTACTTCTTTCCATGATCCAGTTACCTGTTACCACCTACCACGACAGGTGGCACAGACTCCTGTATGTGAGCAGGCTGGTTCACAGGTTCTGCTCTACCCAGAACCTATCAGGCCAGGCCCTTGAAAATAAGTTATATCGTATCATCACTGTTAGATAAATGAAAGAGCAAGTGATTGGGCTACCGGTTCATGTGAAAGCTGTAGCAATGTAACCGTCTGTGTTCTGAAGTCCTTTGTCCTGCAAGCTTACCTAGGACGGAGAGAATGCTGCTAACCCAGCGGGCAGGCAGTCCCTCTCCGGGCTGATGGGCGGTAAGTGCCCAGGGCCGCTCTGGACTGTCAGCTGGGCCTGGGCTTCACAGGCTGCACCTGGTGGGGGGATGACACAGAGCCGTCTCCCCCCTACACGGTTCCGGGCTGATTCGTTAAGTCACCCGCGCCTTAGAGGTGAGACGGAAGCAGTCAGTTTGTTTTTTAAACAAGCGTTGCTTCCTAGGTTGCAAAGCAAGCTGGCATCGGTGGCCCTGTACTCGCTCTAACCTAATAAAGCCCGTGGGTGAAGCACCGACCGCCGCCCACTTCTCCCTGGGGTCCAGGCCGCCCCTGCAGCTCGCAGAAGGGCCTGGGGACCAGCAAGGCCCCTTTACTCCCGCGAAGTGGGAAGCGCCCGCGTGCCACCGGCCCCCTCCTGCCCGGGGAGCGGGCCCGGTCAGCCCCCTGCCACAAGCACGGCCAACCCTTCTGTCTTCAGAATGCCTCCCGTGCGTTCTGGGCACCTCAACACCCACCGCCAAGAGGGGAACCCGCGCGGACTCCGGGGAGCCGCCCCGGCGCGGAAAGTGAAAGTGGGCGCGGGGCCCGGCTGCGGCCGAGAGGCGCCAGCAGCGGGCGGGGGCGGGGCGCCGGGCGGCGCGCGTCACGTGGGGCGCGGCCGTCCAATCCGCGCGGAGACCCGGCCTGAGGCGCTCGTCTCCGTTAACGAAGGCTGTCACTCGGGCTGTTCCCGCCCGAACGCAGACTGCGGAGGGCTTTGCGCCTCCTGCGGCCTCCGGTGCGGGCGTCGGGGTCGGACGTCCCTCGCTGGGGGCTCCTGGGCGCTGGGCGCAATTCCTTTCAGCCGCCACTCCCCACTTAACGGGCGGGAAAGAGCATCTGCAGTTTGGTGTCGTCTCCAGGGCGGCCCAGGAAGGATCCGGGCCTCAGTTCCCTCGGGTTTGCTTGCTGGGGAGGGAGCTCCCCCGTACGTCCCCTGCTCCAAAGCAGAAGTGCAAAGTTAAGTGGCAGGGAGTGCGAAGCCTTTGGGCGCCGCCCTGCTACTCTGGGAGGCCCGCCACCTGCCCCGGTGTGACGCCGGGGACCCGTGAGCCCCTGCAACCCAGGGCAGGTAGAGGCAGGCGTCGGCCCTTTTATTTTCTACAGTATTTCAAATCACTGTAAATCCTTTTTCCACTGGAGTCATCAGCTTAATTCAGTGTCTCAAACAATGTTAAAAGAAGAGAAGTCGTAACCTCAAGTTCTACGCTTTCAAAGACTTCTGGGAGGCTTCACTGTCGCTTCTCAGTTTTTACCCCCAATATCCACCGGGGAACAAAAGCAAGCTTTCCTAAACTCCGTAACAATAGGGAAACTGGTTTAATCCACCTCCGGGTAGGCAGCCCCCACCCCCGAAGCCCTCCTTCACACTCCAACCTGCCCCTAGGTGTGTTTGTGTAACCAGAGACTGATTGTAGCGCCTCGCCGCGTCTCCCCGGGAGAGCGTAGCTGGCATTCACTGCAGTGGCTTTTTAAAGTTACTCTGGGCGAGCAGAGAAGATGCCGCTCGGAAGGTAGCTGGGTCCGGCTCGACGTCTCCAGGAGCGGGCTGGGCTGCGCAGGTGTGCGGGTTGTGATCGCAGTGAGGAGGGTGAGGTTGGACGGGCTTGAAAACGTTACGTTTGCCATTTTAAAACATCGGTCAAAGAATCCAGCCTATGGTGGCAAAGAATACTTGGGCTGGGAGCTCAGTGCAGAGGCCGCCCCGGTGAGGGACGGAAGACTGGTGCTCTGGGGCTCTGCTTTGCTCGGTCTGCAGCCTGGGCCGGCGGGTGCGTACCTCTGGCATTAATTAGTCGGCATTTTAAAACGGGGCAGAAATAGGGACGTTAGGACTGATCACGGTTTGAGGGGTAGAATTCCGTGTCACCGACTTGCAGGGGAAATGAGACGCAGTCGGATACACCCTGCTTTTGGAATGTGAACTGTTTATATAATTTCCAAGATTTATGAAACTTGAAGGCGAGCGAGGATGTCCACGCTCGCGGAGCAGGGGCAGGGGTATTCGTTCCTCTGCAGCCACGCAGAGCTGCGCCGTTTTCAAACGCGCTGGGACGGAGGCGAGGGCGGCGCGGCCCAGGGAGGCTGCGCGGGGCCGCCCCCGGGCGCGCTGCCCCCTCGGGGTCCTGGCTGCAGGAGCAGCGCCCTCAGTGAGTTCCGCTGCGCTCCCCCGGGGTGCAGCTTAGCGGCTTCCGATTGGGCTGCACGAGTCTAAGTGGCGTAATGAAAGGGGGGAAACTGCCGCGGCGCTTCCGTGGGAAGACGCGCGGGGCGGTGTGACCGCGGGGCCGGCGCCGCAGCTCCGCGCCCCCCTCCGCGAGCGGGACCTCCTTTCTTTAAGGTCGCTCACCCCCCCTCCCCCAAATGAGGGGAGGAAATGGCGATGAGCGAGACGCGGCGTCCTCTCGGACGCCAGGACCTCAGGGGTCCTGCCAGCAGGTCGAGGGGCCTCGCGGAGAGGTTCCGAATTCGCATTCGGCCGTGGGGCTCCGGGACCAGGGCTTGCGGGCCCAGCGTGCGGGGAACCCCTCCCCCCGCCGCCCCCGGCCTCGGCCCCGCGCGTAACAGCGAGCGCGGCGGGGCTCCCGGGGCCGATCGGGAGCGCCGGGGGCGGACCGGGCTGCGGTGCGGGGCTCGGCGACGGCATGGGGGAGGCGCTCCGCCGCGTCGGGCCCGGGCCGCCGGGGGGGGCGCGGGAGGCTCCGCGGGCCCGGGGGCGCCCGACGGCTGCGCACTGGCCGGCCGGGAGCGGAGGGCCCCGGCGGGAGACGCAGCGGGCGCCTTGTCCCCCGGGCACGCCGCCCGGCTCCGGCCTCCCTCCCCCGGCCCCGACAGCCCGAGCGGAGCGGGCCGGTCCGCCCCGCCCTCCTGCAGGCCTCGGCTCGGGGCCGGGGCGGGGGGCGGGCTCGGGCAGAAGGGGGCCTGGGCAGGTGGCGTCGGGGCGCCCGCCCGGCGTCCGTCCTCCCGGGGCGCGGGGAACCGGCCGCCTCTGCTCCCGCCGCGCAGCCCTCCGGGGCACGGGCCCCGGGGCTTTCGTTCCTTTTTCTCCTCTTTTTTAGCGGAGCCTTTAAACACTTATATAGAGAGAAACGAAAAACAAAATTTCAAAACGGGAGGGGGCAACAGCAGGAAAAAGTCCAACTCGGGGGGTGTCTCTGCTGAGCAGGCACTGCTGACGCCCCAGTGCGGGCAGGAAGGGCGCTCCGGGCAGGGGCAGGACTGCGTCCGAGAACCTCGGGCTGAATACACCGTAGTAGGAAAGACACAAGTCGGAAAACAGCAAAGGGCACAGTACGTCCATGACACAAACGATTTGAGAAGCTCTGCTGTCATGCAAGCCTGCGGAGAGAAAGCATTCGGTCCTTTTCACAGTATTTCATCTTCCTTTGAATTAAACTTTTTTTTTTCTTCGCCAGCCAACTAGATTTGGTTCCTTAGTTCGGAGGCACAATGAAGTTTCTAACAGATGTAGTCAAGCCACAAGCTCTGATCCAAAATAATAAGCATAATTAATTTTAGCGAACATCTTTAGTTTATAAGGCCTGAAATTAAAATATGATGTTTTTAAAACCCTGTGGTACAAAAACAGAGAAACATATTTGTTCCAGAGTCTTGGACTGACACTGTCTCTTTGCTCTGTGTTGAAAAAAGGCCTCAGTGGGATATGGTCGCTTCACTCCAATAATTCTTTATTCAAACTTGACTTCTTTTTGATCAAAAAGAGTCTTAGGAAATTCTACTTTAAAAATGTTTCCTAATTTTAAAAAGTCAGCAACACAAGGGTGAAATCCTTTGAATACTACATGGTCCTGAACAGATCGCACAGATCTTTTTCTTACAATCACAGAGTTAGAAAGAATATACTTAAGCAGCTATTCATCAAAAAGTAGTTTTTAAATATATGTAATTTAATCTGAATATTACCAAACTTCTAGTACACTGAAATACAAACACAAAAGTCAAATTCTCTGTAATAATTGTCAGATAATGTAGTAGTAATGGGTTCTGCTTGGTTAAGTGAAAATTAATGATCACTTGTAAATTGAATATGTAATATTGAGACAGATTATTGAGATGTCCAAATATATCCAGTTCTTAATTCTTATATGCCTTTTAAACTCTCTTTGGTATGTGGATTTGTCATTGTAAATTATGTTTCCCAAACATTAGAAAGAAGTGTAAAGTTGACATGTTTTCTATAGCATTCAGCACCATGCCTGACAAGAAAAGAAAAATCCTATTGTTTAGACTATATTTTAATGTATGATGTTTTAAAATCATTTGGTTTTGAACAAAATTCAGCCTCTGTGCACAAATAACTTACCCTTTAGTAGATCTTTTAGGCTACTTTAATTAAAAGTTGTTTAAAAGTATATGCCATGAGAGACTATTATTACAAAGTAACGTTTGTATCTTCTTGGGAGTCCATAACCATTGTACATTTCATTTTATGGCGATAACATCTCTAAGGGATACAAAGGGCTGATACTATCTTTTGACAGGGGTGGGTGACTAGAATCCTGTGTTTCTAACACTAATTAAATGTTTCTGCTAAATAGACCGGCTCCTGGTTGGAGTCACATCACCAAGATTCTGATTTGCCTCATTTAAGTAAATAAGAAAACAAATGCTGGCCTTGCAAGCACTATTGCTTATTTCTCTGCTTTAAAAAAATGACTTTGGAGTCCTTCATTTATCTGCCCTGCACTGTATGCTTACCTATACACATACAGGCTGCTGCAGAGTTCTGAGCAGTAAAAAAAACTTCTTAATGGGCAATCTAATTTAAATGACAGACAGGTATTGTGCACATAGTATATAACAGGTGGGGTAAAAGTAGAAATGAGGAAACCCAAGACAGGAAGAAAAGTATTTACAGATAGAAATGCCACACAAATAAATGTAAGATACTAGGATGGATCGTGTTACTTTCACTGCAAATTTTTTCATTAGCAGTATTTTTAATTTTGTACTAAGTAACTTCTCCTAGCTGTCTGAATTGTTGATGAGTTTGTCATATATCATGGAAAGCCTGAACATGTAGGCCAGTTTGATGACCTTTTTAAAATCATTTCTGTTTGTTCTCTTTTCTTTAATGCTAGGGTATTTGCTTAATTGATAGTACCATTTTAATCCTTTCTAAACAAAATTACTTGCTTGTCCCTTTAAAGCTGATGACATTTCTCAGTTGAACTTGATTAAGGGTCTCATTGTATTTGGGAAACTATCCAGTCTTGTCTCCTTCCTAATTGTTTAGAGGTGATGATACCGCATTTAGGGCTAAAGGTTCCCTAAGCACTACTATAAATCCACTTATAAGCCTTTTTTAATAGAAACAGATTGAAGAGGTTGTCTTTAGAAAGCTTGTACTCTCCAAATTTATAAAAGAAATTTTGAAGTATTTGGAAATTATAAGATAATTGCAGAATGCACAAACTACCGGAAAATCATTAGAGGAAGAAATCTCTAGGCTTTGAAATGGGTATTTGGGGAGAGCTTCTGAGGATGTTTTGAAAAAAGGAACCCTACCAACTACTCAAGTAGTATTTTATTGTGCTAGTTAAGTATGTTGGC